TCCAGCCCACCGTCTTATCCGCCTTACCAGCTGCTCTTGCTGCAATTTCGAAAACTACTCATTTAGAATATGAGTAGTGCTGGCGATTGTAATAACAAATACAAGCTGACTTATTCGACAAAATCCACTGCAAAAATGGGATTTGCCAGAGGCCTGACTTGCCCTGACCTATTGGCATGATGGCGATTTGTCGAAATTGTGCCCGGGTTCCATTCCGGTTTGGTGATGATGATGAGACCCAGGCGAAGTGGAGACTGCAGTCCAAACCCGAATAAGAATGTCTTATATTCGAGGCAGCCTAGGTCGGTTAGAGTGACTTAAGAACCGGCAGTTCAGTTTAGACCACAAATAAATGCGTAAGACTCCTGATGCCATTCACTTCCACGTGGCCATGATGAGAGAACTGTTGGAAAGCAAGGCCAAGGGAAGTTCGATGGCATCCTGTGGCCAACTCATTGGATTGTGGGAAAAACTGAAGTACCTTATGTGACCTAGAGTGGCTAAAATTGTATTGGGGAACTAATGGTAGTCTTGAAAACTACTTACATCAAAAGTATTTTCTTCCTATCCATGCCAGCTTCACTAATGTGACTTGAATTTTCAGTTAAAAGGAAATTTAGATTGAATTTACCAAAATCCAAAGTCTCCGGTACCCGATTCGACCTATTCACGAATCCTTCACAAGCAAATATTTCTTCGAAATGAAAAATCGAGTCACACTAAAGCATTAAGGGATTCTGGAAAACACTACTTTTTTCAAAGCTAGGAAGACCAAAATGGTGTGGCCTTTTGTGTGGTTGCAGTCTCCTTACGTTGTAGAGAAGTTGTTTGATCTTGTTTTCGCAACTTGGTCATATTGGCAGGAAGACTTAGAGGAACGCACCACGTCCGGAGTCCATTGTATGCATGATCACTTCCAAAGTCGGACCGTGGACGTGGTACACTCCCAGACGTTTCGCCGGCATCGTCAGTGAGTCTCGCCATTCTTAGCACCACACAACAACTCGTCAAAGA